TTCACTATTCAATCGAATTTTTAACTAATTAGAACCTAAATTTGCATTTTCTCCTATCCTAATTGTGTATATAGCACGTGTCTAAATTGATAATATAAAATTTAATTTATATCTAATGAATTGTATTTATTTGACTGATTATTAGTATTGAATATTGGTTATATTTTTTTCTTTCGATTATTTGAATTAATTGTTTGTATCAAATACATAATTTTTTAAAACATAAATATGCATTTGCTTGTGATGAGCAAAATATTAATATAATAATTATTCAAAATCAAATAGATAAAAATGATGAGCAAAATATTAATGAAAAAATATTTTTTAAATGTAAATCTACATTTTTTCGGATCAAATATGAATCATTCAAAAATAAAGGACAAAGTATTCGATTTGTACAAAGTTTGAATATGCCCCCTAACTCAAATTTTCTGCGTCTACCCCTGAGATCCGTCGACGACGTTCAATCCCTGCCGAAGACGTGTGCATAGGTAAAATCAATTTACGTTGGTCTTCTTCTTTCTTTGATTCAGTCGTCTTCTTTCGTTGGTTAATTTGAATGAGCAACAAAATAATGGGAACTAAATTTTCATATAACAACGGGTTTGAAAAGATGTGAAATTTAAATCAGTTATTAAATGGTTCTTCTTCTTATAGTTTAGGTCAATAAATAAGTAGTTTGAAATTGGATATTGAAAGAATAAAACCAAGGAAAATGTGATACATTCAAATTGTTGAAACTTTACCTCTACTTGAGATGAAATGGAGATATCAAAATTGCCTCAATAAACGAAAACTCTAAATCCCAGATCTCTTAAAATCCCATTGCCAAAACTCAAACATATTTTCATGTTGTTCATCTAAATTCCCTCAAAAATTACACCTTTATTGCAAGAAATGCTAAAGGAAATCTTTAATTTGAAGTTGAAAGGAAACCCACAACACAAAATAACCCAACAATGCACATGGAATTCTGGGAAATGTGCAATGTGGAACAAGAAATCGTTGGGATGAAGATATATTAATCGCAGGCTGACTGTTTTCTGGAAAAATTTTTAGTTTTACAAAAAACCTTTTTTTGAAAAAAAAAAATTTGCGGTTTTACAAATTCACATCTTGATGACGCCAAGTTATTATGGGTTGTGCGATGGTGCATGACAGGGACGGGCTGTTGAGTTTTCGAATTTTAATTGTGAGTTATGAAAGGGCACAGGAGCTCGTTGATTTTTTAAAACCTCGTTTTCCGACAACGATCGGAGCTCGTTGCTCCTGATGCTGAGACACCACCGAATTTGTAGAGTTGTATTGGAGGATTTCTGTGGACTTAGGAGAGAGACGATTTCTATGGGTTTTGGAGAGAGGAGGTTGAAGGGGGTGATGTTTGGCTTTTTCCACTTTAAAATGTGGCTTTTGTTTTTTTGTTTTTTTTTTTTTTTACCAAACACCACGTCTCTCTTGTCTTTGAGCCTAGATTCTACCCTGTCCTAGTAGCGGGATTGTCTTTGAAATAGTAAGCTTTAGCGTTAACTTAGTGTTTTGATCGGGGTCATCATTGCCGAACTTCAATGTAGTTTCATATTTTACTAATTTGTCACATTCCATTACATCTAGGAGCACGCCCAGAAATTCGAGTGAATTAGGACAACCATTGATCGTTAACAGTCACAAATAGCGATAATTTTTTAATATTATTTAATGATTAAATAATATTAAAAAATTCTTTGACGGCATGTGAGTGATATGCCTTGGGTTCAAATCGTTCGCCTTCGAGCAGCTGTTGAGCGATCATCTAATATATATACTCATTTTCTTCAACGAAACTAGCATGAGGATTGCCCTAGCTCCACCCTTGATTATACCTATCTCCTGAACTGATGAAAATTGCTTGGTTGATAGTTGGAATATGACACTCTATAAACGAAATGAAAAAATAAAGGTTATGATAATTTTTTATTAATATGCTAAAATATGATTTTTTTTTTTTTTTTTAAAACGTAGCACTTTTATGATGAGGCATAATAGTAAGCTAGCATGCTACGTAACTATTACATATAAAATCATTGTGGTATAACTTCCAATTCAGTAATTTTCATCAATTCAAAAGATCTCAAGTGTAGGAGTTGTAACATTTGAAATAAAAATGAAGTTGAATGACCTGATAAATTTAAGTTTAGTAACCCAATTAAAATTTGTTCTAAAGTTCAGTGACCACATATGAAATTTCTCTTCAAAATTTTGTTCCTTATTTTGTGCATCATTGTCAATACGCATGACATTTTTTCTATTGTTGACATTTTGGATGAGATAAGAAGAAAGAAAATTATCCAAAACTGCAACAGGGTAATTGGGCACTGCTACTCAAACAGGGCTTGGGACAGACCCCTGTGATTGGGGTTGAGCCCCTGTTTGAGTGGCATAGTAAAGGGTAATTACGCTTTATCAGGGCCACAGGCCCTGGTATTGCAAGGGCCAGTTGGCCATGAACCATTTTGTGAATGATTTTATCAAATTATATTTATTATGTGTTTTATATTGGTTTATGGTTTGGTTAGGTTTTCTTGAAACCAGAATCAAATAGAACCATATCCATCCCAAATATAAGCTAGTTTTGACTTTTCAAAAATCTACCAAACGGGCTATAAAAGACAATTAAGTGAAAACACGAGAATTTTAAATTGATGTTGATTTTCTTTCACTTATCTTTAGATAGCTTTTACAGCTGCATATTAGCAGGCTTATATAACCTTCCAAAATTAATAAAAGCTCCATACATCATCATATGAATAAAGACTTATAGCTCGTTTGAGAGAGAATCTTTGAACCAAAAAATTATTTTTTGAAAAATGTGTGAATAAATCGTATAAATTGGATGCGGGTTACAAGTTTTCTCAAACCCAAAGATCATCGATTTTAAAGACAACCCGTTTTTAGGCCCGAAACCCGATTTCACAGTCAAGCCAAGTCGGTTTTAATAACATTGAGAAGTACAATCTTAAGAGGACAGTACAAAATCTTCGATTGTCCATCAAGTTGTTCTTCATTTGTCGTAGTTTCTCTTAGTAATCAACTAAAAGAATTTAAATGCACCCTTGTTTGATCCCCATTTTTTCAAGAATGCATTTTTTTAAAATTCATTTTCAACCACACATTTTTGTATAAAATAATTATACACATATTTCAAAAAAAAATTCCTTATTTTTTAACAATATATTTTTCAAAAAATTACTATTCCATAATGCAATTTATCCTAAAAATGAGAATCAAAGAGGGCTACGTCTCTGATGATTGTTCCGCACGAAAAGTTTCTTTTGTGGGTAGACTTGTCCTAATCTTATTAGTTAACTAAGCTAAGCTGACTGATAATGAACCTAAGGATACTTATCACAATTGAAGAAGATATTAAATAGTCAATTAAGAGTATAAGATCCCAAGAATGATTGAAAATTTCAATGGATTTTGACAAAGAGTAGCCATCAGCCATTAGCGAATTTTTAATTGAAACAACGGTAATAATTTTGCTTGTCTGCATCAATCAATAGATAGGATAACCTTTTTTTAACACATCACAATCTGCTTATCACTTTTTTTCCTTTTTAATAATTTTGAGAAATTGATTTATGTTTACTGAATTGTACTAGTAATAGTGAATATACGATGTAAATTATTTATTTATTTAAAAAAAATTGTAAAATGTTAATTATAAACTTTGGTTCAATATTGGAAATAAAAGAAATAGGTGCAAATAAAAAAAAATTCAAGTAAAACACAAACCACTGCTTATGTACTGAGTATTGATCTCCTTTTCTCACATCTAATAATAATATCCTCACAAAAACATCGATAGAAAGCTAAGTACTTATGATTCATCAATTGTCACTAAGAAAATTCGGACAAAATAAAAATAAAAATAAATGATCTCTAAAATGTATATTTAAATAATTGCAATTTTTATGGATTTATATCAAACATTATTATACATTTACACTGTCTAATTTGTTAAGGAGGTTTATAAAACCCCTCCAGAATACTCACAATAGAGAGTGGATGATATTTATTTTACGATATTTTACTCATATGAGATATTTTACTCACATGGGACCTACCCATGTGAATATTATGAAGAGTTGTGTAAACACCTCCACCCGCATTCACAAATGTTAATGCTTTTGCGGTAGGTTTTATGATGCATTATATTTTGTTTTTTTAAATTTCTATTGAATGAGTCTGGGGGTTCATTTCAGATTGTGCAAATCCATGCCCTTATTTGAGCCCATTTTTTTGAAAAAAATACATTCTTAAATAGTATTTTGATATCATTTCAATCACATATTTTTTAATAAAATAATATTACACGAAAATCTAAATTTTTTCTTCTTTTAACCATACATTTCACATCATTATACTATTCAAAAATACATTTTCTTGACAAAAACTGAGCTCAAACAAGGATAATATGTATAATGGTAATAGTGATTGTGAAACCAGAAAACAGTAAAACACTTGACCCTTGACGTTTGATCCTCTCTATTTTTGCCTTATTTTATTGTTTTAATTTATTTAAAAAAAAAAAAAATCAATGGATGGATCCCAATTGGATCCAACTCAGCCTTTTAACACTTAATTCTCTCTTTTTCGAGTCGATAATTGATTAGATGTTTAAAACAATGGACTATATTTAAACAGTATAATCCAAATTTGCATCAAATAAACGTGATAATTTAAGATTGATTTTGATCATTTCATGTGTTCTTGATGATAGTTTTTGCACCATTTGAGAAAATACGTAAGTTCGACCACTTATTTAACCAAGACAGAATCAAGAAATCCCTTAGCAAATCACACGACAATCTTGCTACATGTGAACTTCGATTTACATCTTGGCTTACAGATCTTACACTTACGATCTCACTTCATTTTCCACATCTGACACAGTTAATTTAGCCAAAACTGTCATATAAGCAATATGTCGAGAAAGCTGTAAAGTAAAATGTACAAATAGCTTAATCCAATCACACGATAACTTTATTATTGTAAACCAAACAAACACATGATCAAAGTAGAAGGGTCTCCCAATCATCGTGGGTCCCTTATCAACACCAATAAACACACAATAAAAACCTCCCTAATCAATCCCAACCGTTAAAAATCTCACATCCCCAAGAATATATTAGATCAAACGGTGCTCCCTCAGCCCATACAAAAAACAGAAAATAAACGAAAGCCCACACTACTTTATTCGTCTAGGTATCGTCGCACAATATAATTCAAACCCGAATCCGAATCCTTATATAGCAAGAACAAGACCCGGGACTGATTTACCTACCCGATTTGGGAGACTACTCTCCCACAACGAAGGGCAATGGAGTGACGTGATATTGCTGTAACCTGATTGGTCTGTCTTCCCGAAACGCGTCACAGTCAGGGACGTATTGAAATACTCTCTGACCTGAGTAATTATCCCATCCGTCACAGTCCAGGCGTGTACCCAGGCAATGGAACGGGTCTGATCGAAACCCTCAACGAGCACCGTCGAGCCAAAGGCGGAGATGCGGTGGGGGAGGAAAATGAAACTGGTGGAGTCTTCTTCGGTTGTGCCGGTGAGCAAGCGCATCAAAAACTGGTGAGACGGCGGGCCATGGAACCACCACTCAAGATCTGGAGCAAGAATCTTCTGGATTGCCTCCACGTCGCGTATCTTTAAGGCGTCATATAGGGCGATCACCACCCCCTTGTTTTGAGTATCCTCCAGAGTTTCTTGAGGGTTAGCCAGTTCCTGAAAGGGAGCAAATTGTAGCGAAGAAATTGAGGGAAGTAGTGAAAACTGTTGGGAAATGAAATGGGGAGATGGAGGTTTATAGGAAGCAAGAAGGGTATGCTTGTGATTAGATGGATTGATAAGGGCAAAACTGGAAATGTGCGATTCTGTTGAATTTCCTTCACAGGAGATTACGTGGCGTGATGTGGGTGGTTGTAATCTGGAACTGGGAGGCGAAACAGTCAATATTCAAGCCTAATTATTTTGACCATTTGACAGTTTTGACCCCACAATCCACAAACATTGCCAGCAAAGATGCTGGGCACTCGGGCTGACCGTACCGACTGGATCAACCTGAACATTCCCCAACAAACCGGCAGTAATGCAGGTCGGTTTTCTAGCCCCCCATTTGGTGCGAATTAAAGCTTGATAAAAAAATTTGACTTAAAAGCGAACGATTAATATTAATTCATATTTGTATAATTGATATTAAAACAAAAATTTAAATTTTAAATTATTTGCTACAGTATTATTCTTAGTCACATATTTATGCAATAAAATATTCTACGCACAAATCAATAAAATTTATTTACTTTTAATCACACATTCTATAAAAAATTCTTTAACTTTTCAAATAATGAACCGCAAGCTGGGGCTAAATGAGAAGTATAATAAAATAAATTACTTAATTTTACTTTTAATTGAGCCTATCACTTAACGTCATCTAAATTAATGTTATAACATTAGTAGTGCTAGATAATATTATTCTATTTTTATGAGTCTCAAAAAATTTGATCATGCAGTTCATCATTTTTTTAATTATAAATTTCAAGAGTAAATAATAATAATAATAATAATAATAATAATAATAATAATAATAATTGTTTAAGCTTCTATAGAACAATTTTAAAAATTAATTTTTTTTATCAGTAAATACTTATAGTCTCTAACCAAACATTCATAAATTTAACCAAAAGTACTTTTTGCCATCTAAGAATTACTTTAAAGAAATTATTTCCAACTTCAATTTATAACACTTGTAATCACGACCAGCTCTAACTAAAGATCAACACGACTCATTTTAAACATAAAATAAAAAACCATAATTAGCCTCATCAACATCAAACCCCCCGAAATGGTCCAAAACGTGAATTGAACACTTCAAAAACAATGCAATTGCCAAATTTTCGTTCCATTTCCTCATTTTACCTTTTGTCATTTTCATTGCATTTTTAATATTTTTATTTATATCTATGATGAAATAAAAATTTCATTCTTTTCAGTATTAAAGGATATAACCCACATCGAATAAAGATGAAAATATAGACCAACTTATAAGTCTTGAACTACTCCTCTTAACAAGGTTGACTTTTTAAGAAGAAATCCTAAGTTTTAACATTTAGCATGAGTTAATTTGGTGGTATTCTCTTCTAGCTATTTCATCAAATTGGGTAATCAAAATTATTAAACAATTGACGATTAAATTAGTATTTTAACCCTTTTTTTTTTTTTTTTTCCTTTTCCAATTCCTATTTTACTCTTTAGTCTCATCCAGTATTAATATTTTACATTGACGGTCGAACCTGATATTAATACTTTGGTGATGTGAGAGATTATATATAATTGTATATTTTTTCATATAGTGAAATATCCGTTTTGACGTTCTGTGATTTTTCTCTAATTTAGAAGTTTTTCACGTAAATCTTTGTATTATTTTCTCTATATATTTTATACCATTCTCTCTTCTATATTATTCCAGACTGAGAGCTTGTGGATAAATTGAAAAATTGATCTCTATCCCAATATTTTCCAATCCAAGTCCTATTCTCTGAGAGGATTAGGGGAGATTTTAAAACAATGAGCGTCATAGAAATGAATTCTACATTAATGCTGAATTCAAATCAGGAAAAGAGTTTCTTCTTTAATATTTCTTATTAGAAATATTGAAGAAACACTAAAAAGATCAAAGTCTATGCAAAACTTCAAGAAATTTTAGAGAGCTAGGCTTGGATCGATATGCAAAAAATAGGGATTGTGCTGAACTAGATTAGGCCACCCATACACGACCCTTTTGCCACCTCTACTTACCCAAATGACACTTTTTAATCAAGAAATGATTTAGAAAAGATCGACACCATTTTTTTTATGCAGCTATTCGTATTTCTTTTTTGGCACTTTTTAGAAGTAGATAAGGAAAATAAAGAGTTGATCTGGTTGGTAGCTATATTTGACAGTAACTAGCTCCATCAACATCAAACCTCCAAGAAATGGTCCAAAACGTGATCAATTATGCAATCTAATAGTGGAAAATTAGATTAGTGCTTTACAATTGATACACTCTTTTAACCTTTATTTTTGAATAATACTATTTGCAGTCGCTCACTAGTTATTATTGTGGTCGCATTATGTAGCATATATGTGGCGGTTAGTAATTTGTTACATAAGGTAATTAAAAACTACCACATTAATATATCAGACCACTAAACGCCACGTGTATATCACATAGGGGTCGACAATGAGCAACTACAAATAGCATTACTCTTATTTTTTCAAAAATTTTAGTTTTCCATAAATGATGATCATTGACATGGTTATAAGGAACTCTACCAAGTAGTAAAATTCATTGATTGTACAAAGTTTAACTCGGATAGTATTAAAAGCTAGCTAGTGCAACTTGTGAATAACTAGAAATTTCTTGCAAGTTAGGAAATAGTATTATAAGCGATATACGTTTTTTCTGTTTTCTAAGGGAATTAAGGAAGACATTGAAAATTTTGGTCATCCTTAATTTTGGTATGCAATCAAATAGTCGACTCATTTGTGTTGAAAATGAAGTGTTACTCATTTGCTAATGGCTTTCGTAGTGCACAATTAAAAAACTCGTTTATATGCATTCTTACTAAAATAATAAGGTAAAAATCAGTCTCATGGGATTAGTCGAGGTGCACGTGAGCTAGCTCCAACATCCATGGTCGTAAAAAAAAAAAATCATTATAATAATAACTCGTCATATTTTAAATTATTTCCAAATAGTTACTATAATTTTCAAATTATTTTTTAGCAGTCATTGAACTTTAAAATGTTTTCAAACATTTTTTCTTGAGAAGAAGGCAGAGTTGTAAAGATAGGAATTGTAAAATGTATGTTGTAACTATGGGTCCATTTTGAAGTCAAAAACCAATTCTTTATTTATTATTGATAAGCGTATTTATTACACTATTCTGGGTCGTTAAACTACAACAATTAGTGTTGTTTTAAATGAATTGAGGCTTAATTTTGTATATATTTGGTTTATTAGGTACATCTCGATGAAAAATGACAAAAGTTGACAAAAGGAGCGAAAAATTGGCAAAAAGGGGTTGAATCCAAAGTTCAAGGACTAAACTGCAAAGTACCAAAAGTTGATTCAGACCCCATATCGATGATTGGAGAAGATGTAAAGTCAATTGGATAAAATTGCAAGCTAAAGGAGCAAGAAGATATTAAATAAGAGTTCAAATAAATAAAGACCGATATTGTAGGATTAAAGTACAATACTTGAGAATTTGTTTGTACAGTGCGCGTGCGGGGCCACAAAGTGGTGCGCGCGTGGGACCTCAAGTCCTTTATACTGAGAGGAAAAGCATAAAGTGGCGCGCGCGCTCGCAGGGGTAAATTCTGTGCCGAACAGCCCAACCTTCGTTTTTAACCTAAACTCTTATGGAAAGAAAAAGGAAACAATTGGGAAAGAAAGGGAGGAGCCGGAATACGAGAGAAAAGCAGAAGATACTTAATTTTCACCACAAGAAGGAAGAAAGGAAAATTGTAAGCCAACTTTTGAGAGAATTTATATCGAAAACGAAGAATTCATCGCATGGAATTGGATTTGAAGGCACAAATTGAAGATTTCCAGATTTTCTTCATCTTTAATTATTCGAGTGATGACTTTCTTTTATTCTCTTTGTAATTATTACGTTAACATGATAGGCTAAATTCCTTTGTATTGGATGGATGACAAAACTAATTGATTTTTAGTTTTCAATTCAAGACTGTGATTCCATTAACATGCATATTTATATTGTTTTAAAGTTTGCGCACAATTAGGACAATAAGTTGCTTATTCGTGATATTGAAAATTTCACGATAGGTTTCTACTGTTGATGGAATACACGGGCAATAAATGTTAGAAATAATATTTGTGGCGTGTGCGATCATGTGTAATAATCCTAAAGGTCAATGCGTGGTTGCCATATGAATTCGAACCAGGAATATGATCGTCTCATGGTAATCATAGGTTTATTATATCTTGAGAAAGAATAATAAATAAAATTGAATTATCGATCGTCACATATGCAGGAATTGAGACTATTATTACTGGTTGAAAATTAAAATTAAGAATTGGTTAGTGACATCAGAAATCCAATACTTTAAGTCATTTGATTCTTAAACTAAATTTTCATTGATTTTACAAGTTTTAGATCCAACATTCAACTAGATACTTACAAATGAATTTTTGATTGTAAATACAAATTTAAACATATCAAATATACTAGGATTAGACCTTATTCACTGTGGGACGATAACTCTCTCATCACAATTATTACTTGTACAACGAATCCGTACGCTTGTGGAATTTTGACGAACAAGTTTTTGGTGTCGTTACCTGGGAATAACGGCGTTAATGTTAATTATTATATATTTAGATTCATTTTTTTTTTATTTTCAATTATTTTTGTTGTTTTTAGGCTACTATTGCCCTGCTTAATTCTCTTTTGTCTTGACTATTTGCAGACTAATTTGGTATATACAAAATCCTGACGAGCCAAATCTCTTACCGATAGATCACGAAAACGAAAGAACATTCAGAAATCGAGAATTATCCAAAATGAAGCTCCTATCTTAGTTTGGAGACTATGTCAATCTAGTTCCAGCACCAGTGTAACCAGCTATGGTATATCCTCCCTTTGGACAACCTAATTTTCACCTTCGACCAGATGCCATCAATTTGTTTCAAAATCACCAAGACATCAGGTTTTTTGGAAAAGCCATGGAGAATCCTCATGAACAATTTATGCTTTTCTTATGCTATGTGAAGTGATCGGTCACGAAGGGATATCAGTAGACGCATTTCGAATGAGATTATTCTCTCATACCTTGAAAGATGCTGCTAGAGAATGGTTTCTTTGTCTACCTCCTGGGCCCATTCAATCATGGAATGATATGGTTCAAAAGTTCACGATGAAATTCTTTACACCTTCTCGAGTTTACCAAATTAGGAATGACGTCCACACCTTCAAGCAGAAAGATCTAGAGAGCTATCCTAAGGCATAGGAGAGGTTCAAGAATTTTTTCAGAAAATGCCCCAGCCTTGACATTTCGAAGCAGGCTCAACAGTATCTCTTCCACTACGTTCTAAAATAAGATTTCAGAAATATGATAGATGCGTTAGTAGGAGGATCGGTAATGAAACTTAATGTGGATGGGGCATATGATCTGTATGAAAAAATAGTTGAGAATTAATCAATGTGGCCAACCAATAGGGAAACTCCAAAGAAAACAGCAGGGTTACACAATGTGGATGCAATGACAGCATTGGCTACACAAATGGAAGTTCTTGCAATGAAAATGGACAATATATCTCAGTCAGTTAACATAGTACACCAATCTCCACCAGTTTGTGAAAGTTGTAGAGCTGATCATAGTACTACACGATGTCCTTTGGTAACAACACATGTTAATCAATCTGAAGAAGTGAGTTATGCGTAAAACTTTGAGAGACAGCAAAATAATCCATTCTCCAACACACATAATCCGGGTTGGAAGAACCATCCAAACTTTTTGTGGTCTAACAATCAGGGACAAGAACAGGGAAGAAACAATCAAAATAAACCACCAGGGTTCTAACAACAACAGCAAGGGAAAAAGTCATCGTTGGAAGATTTGCTAGCTCAGTACATTACTAAGACTGAGACCAACTTTCAAAATCAACAAACCTCTATCAAGAAATTCGAACAACAGGTGGGAAAGATTGCAGTCGCACTATCAGGTAGAGCTCAAGGAACATTACCTAGCAATACTGAGACAAATCTGAAGGAGCGGGTCAAAGCCATAACTACACGGAGTGGAGTCCATTTGCCAGAAATACATATAAAGTGACTAGCAACTGTCACAGAAAAGATACCCACCACGGGAGAGGAGCAAATGGATGAATCAGACATAGCAATAGAGGAAAATCGAATTGAGTCATCTGATAGTCCACAAGTGAAGACAAGCACTTCTGTCAAAGCATATGTGCCTCCAATCCCATTCCTACAAAGACCGCAAAAATACAAGCTCGATAACCAGTTCCAGAAATTTTTGGATGTGTTTAAGAAATTGCACATTAACATACCGTTCGCTGAAGCTTTAGCTCAGATGTCCAGCTACGCGAAGTTCATGAAAGACATCCTATCAAAGAAGAAGAAGTTAGAGGACAATGAAACGGTCATGCGTATTGAGGAGTGCATCGTAATGCTCCAACATAAATTACCATCGAAGCTAAAATATTCAGGTAGTTTTACTATTCCTTGTAACATTAGTAATTTATATATAGATAAAGTATTGTGTGATTTAGGAGTTAGCTCTACTTTAATGCCTTTATCTCTTTTTAGAAAACTAGGTCTGGGAGAAGCAAAAGCGACTACAGTTTCACTGCAATTAGCTGACAAGTCGATCAAACACCCGCGAGGTATTTGTGAAGATATTTTGGTCAAGGTCGATAAGTTTATCTTCCGAGGGGACTTTATTATTCTGGATATGGAAGAGGATAGGGACGTCCTTTTCATATTGGGTCACCCATTTTTGGCTACGGGAAGGCTCTGATAGATGTGCAAAATGGTCAGTTGATATTGAGGCCAGATGAAGAGGGATTGACAATTAACGTATTCTGAGCTTTCAGATTTCAGAATGAACCAGATTCTTGCATGCAGATAGATATAATAATGGAAACAGTGTCAGAGACATTCAAACTTGATGACCCTTAGGATCTGCTTGAGACTTGTTTAGTGCATTCTCAGGATTTGCCATCCAAAAAGGAAGAAGCAAAAGAATGTGTAAGTTATTTGGTAGGCATACCACCATTCTTCAAGCAACCATGTTTGGAGCTCGGTGAAGGACCCACAAAACCTTTACCATCTATATAGCCAGCTCCAACTCTTAAACTCAAATAGCTGCCTACCCAACTTTGCTATGCATACTTAGGGGAAAAGAATTCACTTTCAGTAATTATCTCGTACAAGCTTACAGAATCAGAGGAGGATCAGTTGTTAAGGGTACTTTGGGAGCACAAGACAGTAATAGGATGGACTATATCGGGTATAAAAGGGATCAGCCATTCATTGTGCATGCACAAGATACTGATGGAAGATGATTACAAAGCTTCAGTTGAGCATCAACGAAGATTAAATCCAACTATGCAGGAAATGGTCAGAAAAGAGGTATTAAAGCTTCTAGATGCAAAGATCATCTACGCCATATCAGACAGTCATTGGGGTAGTCCAGCATAGATAGTGCCGAAAAAGGAGAAATCACGATGGTTCCGAATGAAAACAATGAGCTCATCGCAACACATACAGTTTCGGGTTGGAGAGTTTGTATTAACTATCGCAAACTTAAAAATGCCACGAGAAAGGATCACTTTCCTCTTCCTTTCATTGATCAGATGCTGGAGAGACTTGTTAGGCATGTTTACTACTACTTCTTGGATGGTTATTCGAGGTACAACCAGATTCTTATAGCACTAGATGATCAAGAGAAAACGACCTTTACATGCCCTTATGACGCTTTTGCTTATTGGAGGATGCCCTTTGGTCTTTGCAACGCTCCAGCCACCTTTCAGCGCTGTATGATGTCTATTTTCTCAGAGATGGTAGGAAATATCATTGAGGTATTTATGGATGATTCTCGGTATATGGAAAATCATTTAAGGAGTGCCTTGAATATTTGGGAAAAGTGTTGCAGCGGTGTGAAGACAACCTTGTATTAAATTGGGAAAATGCCATTTTATGGTTCCAGAAAGGATTATACTAGGGCATCTGATTTCAGCACGGGATATTGAGGTTGATAGATCTAAGATACAAGTCATCGAAAGACTACCACCACCGATAACAGTGAAGGGACTTAGAAGTTTCTTGGGTCATACTGGGTTCTACCATCTCTTCATTAAAGACTTTTCCAAAATCTCGAAGCCATTATGCAATCTACTAGAAAAAGGGGCTCCATTTCACTTTTCTGAGGAGTACTTGACTGCTTTCAATACCTTAAAGGAAAAATTGGTTTCTGGTCTAGTTTTGGCTTCTCCGGATTGGGATTATCCATTCGAGCTTATGTGTGATACCAGTGATCACACAGTGGAGGCAGTGTTGGGTCAAGGAAAGGAGAAGAATTCTCGTGTTATTCACTATGCCAGTAAGACTTTGGATGAGACTCAAATGAATTATGCGACTACAGAGAAAGAGCTTTTGGCAGTGGTGTTTGCCATTGACAAATTTAGATCATATTTAATTGGGTTAAAAGTAATTATCTATAAGGGTCATTCAGACTTGAAATATCTAATGAGCAAGAAGGATGCAAAGTCGAGACTTATTCGATGGATACTCCTACTGCAAGAATTTGATTTGGAGATCAGAGATAAAAAGGAGAGTAAAAATGTTGTGGCAGATCACCTATCTCACCTTGTATTATATGAGTCAAATCCTATAGAAGAGAAGTTTTTCTTGATGAAATGCTTTTTCAGATTATCACTACGCCATGGTATGTCGATTATGTCAATTACTTGGCCAGATCCGTGATCCCACTGGACTACTCAAGTCACCAGAAGAGAAAATTCTTCAATAACCTAAAACATTAATTTTGGGATGATCCAATTCTTTACAGAAGGGGTCCAGATCAGATCATACGCCGTTGTGTGCCAAACGTAGAGCAACATCAAGTATTGAAATCATATCACTCTGCACTGTATGTGGGCCACTTCGCAGCAACCAAGACAATAGCAAAGGTACTACAATCGAGTTTTTATTGGCCTACGTTGTTCAAGGATGCCCATTATATGGTGAAACATTGTGATAAGTGCTAGAGGACTGAAAACATCTCAAGGAAGAACGAGATGCCTTTAAATAGCATTTTGGAAGTTGAAATATTCGACGTTTGGGACATTGACTTCATAGGACTTTTCCCCCATCCTAGGAGCAACAATACATATTGGTGGTAGTGGATTATGTGTCTAAATGGGTTGAACCTGTGGCTTTGCCAACTAACGATGGTCGAGTACTGAAGAAGAACATTTTAATATGTATGGCACCCCGATGGCAATTATTAATGAAGGTGGGAAGCACTTCTGTAACCGCATTTTTGCGTCACTACTGGCCAAGTATGGAGTGAAACACTGTGTTTCGACTCCATATCATCCTTAGACTAGCGGGCAGGTGGAAATCTCCAACAGGGAGTTAAAGAAAATTCTTGAAGCTACAGTCAGTGCATCATGTAAGGATTGGGTTAAGAAACTGGACGACGCACTTAGGGCATATAAAACAGCATTTAATACTCCAATTGGCATGTCTCCATATCGACTGGTATTTGGTAATGCCTGTCATCTACCCGTTGAGTTAGAGCATAAGGCTTATTGGACGACTCACTTGCTTAATATCAATATGAGGGCAGCAGGAGAGAATAGGGTTCTACAACTTCATGAGCTCGAGGAATTTTGTTTGAATTCATATGAAAATACAAAGATTTATAAGAAAAAGATCAAGAGATGGCACGACAGACATATAAGAGAAAAGGAGTTTGAAGTAGGCCAGCAAGTTTTGTTGTTCAATTCAAGTCTCAAACTTTTTCCTGGAAAGCTAAAGTCTAGGTGGTCGGGTCCTTTCACAGTGATGGTCGTGCTTCCACATGGTACTGTAGAGGTGGTATCTCAGGATGAACAGAGAAGGTTTAAAGTGAATGGGCAATGGTTGAAAGCTTATTGGGGAGGTGACTACTCCAGTGAGAAGACAATCGTGCCTCTTAACAGTGCAGAGTAGCCTAAGCAGCAAAGTCGAGCTAGACTATAAAAATAGTGCTTATTGAGAGGTAACCCAATTCTCTTCCCTTTTATTTATTTAGCTTTGATACATTAGATTAGGATTTTTGTTTTCCTTTTATTGCTTTGGTGTGTTTAGACAGATTAGGTGTCATCCATTCATTTCATAGATATTTGCGTTAATGCACAAGTCACACAAGTTCATATTTATTTTGCATAAGTTTGGGGGAGTTCAAACTTCACTTGCATGCGTTGGGAGGAGGTCACGAATATCAAGGTAAACACGAGATGTTGAGGACATAAAGAAGTTCAAACAGTGTGTTTCTAGGACACAAGCGAGATTTGTTTAAATTTTGTTGATCCCACATCACCCCTCTCATATCTAGATCATAGTGGTACAAGTATTAGGTTGGATGTGAAACTTAAGTGCTCGAGTTAAATTTAAAACCAACAAACCCTTTGGGATTGGTGTGAATTTCAACACGTGTCATATTATTTTTGCATGTTTGTAGCATATATTATGTCCTATAATTTTCCTTTATGCTTTTATATTTTTATCTTAAAAAATATATATATTTTTTTAGCTGGCGCGAGAGACCACGTCTTAAGGGGGCAAGGGCTTAAACCCCATGGCCTCGTGCGCGCGACTAACATAGTAGCGCTCGCGCTGGCTAATCGAGACCCAGACCCCCAACATATTCACACACCCAAAACAATAGACCAAACGCCTCCCTCTCATCTCCTCTCAAGTTTTTGACATTTTTCACCAATTTCACTCACTAATTCAAGTGATATTCAAGATTCAACCCTTCACACCAACATTCCTTTACCATTTCACACGTTTATCCCCAGAATTCGAGTATTGAAGTCCGGGTAAGTTTGCCAACTCTAGGTCTACTCGAATTGTTTTAGTTCTTGTAATTTGTTGGAAATCTTCGAATATTGTTAGATTGTGGGCATAGTTATATGGTGATTGAAAAATTGCTTGTGGTGGTTGTGGATTTTTCATAGGGAAAATTGAGTTTTTCAACCATATCACAACCCTGTGCACATAAAGAGTTTGATGTTTTTCTCAACTGCAGGTTTGTTTGAATTCTGGCATTATCTTTATGTGACATGTAAGATATGCATTTTTTTTTTTATACTTCCATATTGTTGCATTCATCTTCTTGCATGGAATTCATGACAAATAAGGGCTACAAAGCACCATTCTATGTTGCTCATTCATAAATGTTTTACCCTATATCATGTACTCATTGTGGTTTTACAATGTGTTGATAGATATGGCTCTAAAATGTAAGAGTGCTCCTTCCACCTCCAAAGGCAAGGAAAAGGTTGTGGGATCTTCTAGCACCACTCGAACACTACTTGACGACGGAGGTATGAGACGATTTTTAACCCTGAAGCATAAATCTAGGTTTGACAACATGGTTTCAAGATTAAAAGTTTGGCCAGAACGACAAGTGATATTGGAAGACTTTGGGGGGTTTGAATTGACCCAGTTAATTCGTTTAGCAGGTTGGGAGAAAGTTGTGAGCAAACCTCAGAAAGTCTATCTGACTTTGGTACAGGAGTTCTATTCCAATTTCAATGCAAATTTAGACAACCCAGAGACTGAACATTTGCATCAAACATGGGTTCGAGACAAGTGGATATTTTTTTCTCCAAAAGTGATTGAGGAGTACTAAGGTTTGACTAGGGACAATACTATACCTGTGCCAATGGATCCAAACATGTCAGTCGTTGTGCAGATGTTGTATGGGAGACATGACGCATGGCCACTTGTAGGAAATGAATTTGA